GTGTGTGTGTGTGTGTGTGTGTGAGAGAGAGTGTGTGTGTGTGTGTGTGTCTGTGAGTGTGTGTGTGTGTGTGAGAGAGAGAGAGTGTGAGTGTGTGTGTGTGTATAAAAAAATATAAATCCGTTTTATGAAAAATGCATCAAAATAAAGTGAGTCTATGATTAAAATAAGAACAAATATCTGCCAGTGGTTAATTTGTTCTGGTTTTATGCATAAACGCACTTCATTTTTTCATAAAACAAGACTTAATGTCTTCAGTAAATGTGTCTTGATTTAAGAATCTTTAGACATTTGTGCTGAAAAACAAGACAAACAGCACTTTTTTGCAGTGCAGACTCAATTCTGTCTTCATTTTTAGTGACTCAAATAAACAAAAACAGCAACAAAACATGTTACAAATGTCTTTTTTATTCAGAAGACAATAAAATAAGAAAAGAGACCCGATCCATTCACCCTCAGACGATCTGAAGCATTAAAAAAAAAAAAAATCACACAAGTCAAAGACTTTCAATTGTGATCTCTGCCTTGTGCTAATTTAGCTTTTCAATTAATTATAAAAAAGCGAAAGTGAAGCAGCTTCATTAGGAAGAAAAACGGTGTGTTTACAAACGGAGGAAACGGATATGAGCGTTCAGACACACTAGTGTTCAAAGGTTTGGGATCAGTACGATTTATAATGTTACTGACAGTCTCTTCTGCTCACCAAGGCTGCATTTATTTGCTCAAAAATACAGTAAAAACAGTAAAAATTTGAAATATTATTAGAATGTAAAACAGCTGTTTTCTATGTGAATCTCTGTTAAACTGTAATTTATTTCTGTGATCAAAGCTGTATTTTCAGCATCATTACTCCAGTCTTCAGTGTCACATGATCTTCAGAAATCAGATTTGAAGCTGATTTCAAACCACATGGGATGCAGAAAAATCTGATCTTGTGCAATTTTTTCCTGTTTACATGTGTGCAATGATATCCGATCCGTGTCAGATGAGTAAAAATTTACTTAACAAAAAACCACGCACAAACAAGAGTCCTTAAATCAAACATTGATATGATTATTGTTGGGTTGTGACTCACTACAGCACATAATGACTATCCTCTGATGATGATGATGAAGAGCGCTGCAGGCTCAGACACACCTGTATCTGTGTTCAGAGAGAATAAATAAAGGCATGTCAGAGAAACTCTTCTCTTGGCTTTGTTTCAGACGATGCGCCACACCTGTCCCAGCGCTAAACAGGTCGAGTCGCCTCACATTTCATCAGCGTGCGGCGGTTTGTCTGCATCTGCGTTTCCTTCCGCCGCGGCCGAGCCGTTCCTCTGGTCTCCGGTCCAATCCTGCGGCCCGTCTGCGTCTGCAGGTTTGTGTTCTGATGCGGGCGGCAGAGGCTCTGAAGACATCGGATCATCTTCTACAGGATCCTCCAGGAGCGGAAGGGAGTCCACCTCATTCAGGATGCTTCTGGAAATCACTGAAATCAGAAACACTGCATCTTACAGAAGTCAAGGGCTTCTGAACAAGACTTAATAATACATTTGACACTGATATGATATCTGCACTCGGACCCGTATTACCGGTATCGGCACTGGTTGGGTGTTAGGTGGTCATACAAGCTTTTAATTCTAAACATGAAATTGTAAAAAAATATTTTAACTACTTTAAATGTAAACTTTTAATATTACTTTTTATTTATTTTAGCTAGGTTACTTCAAAGCTTTTCATTTTATTTTTAACTAGTGTAATTCTAAGCTTTTAATTTCATTTATTTTAACTAGTTTATTTCCAAACATTCAGTTTTATTTATTTTTATTTAGTTTGATTCTAAATTTATTTTTATTCATTCTAACTAGTCTAATTCTAAACTTTTAAATGTATTTTTTATTTTAACTAGTTAAACTCTCATCTTTTAATTCTATTTTAACTTGTTTAATTCTAAATTTATAATTTTATTTTGTATTTATTTTAACTAGTTAAATTCCAACATTTTAATTCTATTTCAACTTGTTTAATTCTACATTTATAATTTTATTTTGTATTTATTTTAACTACTCTAATTCTAAACTTTTAACTTAATTATTTTATTTATTTTAACTAGTTAAATTGTAACCTTTTATTTCTATTTTTAACTTGTTTAATTCTAAATTTATAATTATATTTTTATTTTATTTTAACTAGTTAAATTCTAAATTTATAATTTTATTTTGTATTTATTTTAACTACTCTAATTCTAAACTTTTAATTACATTTTTTTATTTTAACTAGTTTAATTGTAATCTTTTGATTGATTTTTAACTAGTTTAACTCTAAATTTTGTATTTAATTTTTTTTATTTTAACTAGTTTAATTCGGAACTTTTAATTTTATTTTATGTTTATCTGAACTAAAATTAAAATGAAACTGAACTTTTTAATATTATAGTAATATTATATGAATAGTTAGTATTTAAATTAAATGATTAGCTTACACACTTAAAGGATTAGCTTATCCAAAAAATTATCTAAAACAACATGTAGAAATATGCACAGTATACGCTGTTGCTAAATTTCCAGGTATTATTGTTTGTTACCATGGCAACGGCAATAACGCCCCTTAGCTGTTATAAATTCACTGTAAACCACGGCTTCACGGGGCTTATTGCTTTTATAAAACGGTTATTCCATATACGTAGTAAGGTTTCACAAAATAAAACGGAGCAAATAAAGTGTAATGATATTAATAAAAACAGCATTCTTCCACCAAACAATGTAGCTCCTCAGAAACAGTTGTGGTTGCTACAAAGTGGTTGCCGAGCAACAGACAAACGTAAACAAAGGTGTATGTTTGTAGAGTCATTTACAACAGCTTCGAACGCGGCTCAGCCAATCAGAATCAAGCACCGGAACTCTCCGTTTTATAATGTTTGTTTACCAACACTGTTCTTTTGCGCTCAACAGGAGAAACTTTAGCGGTCATGTAAGGTTCATTAGTGATGTTTAGTGAGCGCGTCTCACCGGCGGCTGGAGCGTAAGTGTCCTCCGCTGACGGAGAACGACGGCTGAACGGACTGTAACTGGGGAAGATGAGCAGAGCCAGAGAGAAGAGGAGGATCTGTGAGGAGCAAGAACACACTCGTGAGATCCACAGTCTGGTGCTTGTATTAATGATCTGAGCAGACAGAGATGGATCGGACCATGATGCACGTGCTCGTCTGTGCCGCTTTGGTGGCCGATTGCTTGACCAAAGCCTGCAGTTTGTGCAGCTGAGCCACAAGAGTCCTGAAACACACACGATGACCACACAAACTACATGAATATGACTCAATTCTGGATTATTTTTATTCTGCTGAATGAAACCCAGTGCGTTTCTGACTAACGCTGAGCTGCTGACTCCAGTGTCACACGTTCTCACTAAATATGATGCATTTCATTGTGCTTTTGTCTTTGAGAATCATTTGTGTGGTGATTAGTCTAGTATTCTCTCTTAAACAGCAGAAAAACACCACAAACACATGATTCCTGTCTGAATCTGATCAGTTCTCAGCCCATTTTCACGTTTGACATTATTTTATTTCTAATCCTGATTTCAAGGTCAGAATTATGATCCAGAGACAGAAGAAAATGCAGACATGTTTTCTGATTTTACTGCATCCAAACAGACAGAGAAAAATCACAGATTTTCTGAAAAATCTTATTTTTGCATTAAATGGAGAATTTGAAAAATTTTTCCACTCCTTCTTAGACTGTAAATTAAATGGCACTTTTTGAGTAATACTTTTTGTTATTAAAACCAAAAATGTTGACATTTGACTGCTTTCATAAGTGCGTGTATAAAGCTGATATATACATATTATTTTTAATGCACTATATATATATATATGGCTGTGTGTATAAAAATTTGGAAAAAAAATGTTGTTCACTCACACATTGTGTTTCTCCAGCTGATCGACGGTTCTCTGCAGCTCTTTATTCTGAGATGAACACGCCACCACCCTGAAACACACACACACAGAGAGAGACACACAGAGACACACACACACACACACACACACACAGAGAGACACACAGAGACACACACACACACACACACACACACACACACACA